GTTACTGTGTTCCCTACGATGTTTCACTTGTTTTATTTGTGTTTATTGAGTAAAAATAACACGGTATGTAGTGGATTTTTTAGTGTACATGTTTTTGTATTTTTTAGCATGGAAGACCTTATCCTTGTTTTTTTTTTTTCGTTTGGATGTTTTATGGTGTTTTAATGGTATATATTGAGTTAAAGATGAATATAATGATTTTTTTATGGAGACAATGTCCTTTTTCTTTTATTATTGTTTGTTTATGTTAATTTTGTATCAGTGCTTTTATTTATTTATTTATTTATTTATTTATATATTTATTTATTTATTTATTGGTACAGAGTTGATTTTCAATCTTTGTTGGAGGAAGTCAGTGATGGAGAGGGGAAGGAGTCTCTCTCTCTTTACGCACACCTGACACACCACCCACGCCCTTCCGTCAGCAGGACAACCCCACCGACTGTCAGCGTCAGCAATATATGTACGCTGACAGTGAGAGGGAGAGACAGTTAAGTCGTCAGCAATAGCCCATGTAGTCAGCTCTTTACAGGCGCCTGCTGACACTGCGCCCTACCACCACCACCACCACCGGCTGCTCGTGGGCGTGGCCAGTATGTAGGCGTGTGGGGGGGAGAATCACACACACACACACGGGTTGAGGAAGAGGAGGTAATGGAGGAGGAAGAGAAGGAACAAGAGGGGGTTAATGATGAGAGAGAGGAGGAGGAAGAGAGGAGTAAAAGGTGGAAGAGGAAGTTGTAAGAAAGGAATAGAAGAAAGGAGGAGGAAGTTAATGGTGGTGATAGTGGTGGTGGTGGTAGGAGTGGTGGTGGTGGTAGGAGTGGTGGTGGTGGTAGGAGTGGTGGTGATAGTGGTGGTGGCAGCAGGTGTTAACTCGGAGGGCTATATATGTGTGGCAAGTCACAAACAGGTCCCCCCACGCCCATTCCTCGCACGCCCTCTTCCCCCTCCTTCCCCTTCTCTTAGCTTCCTCCCCCAAAGTCCCTTCTCTCAACTTCCTCCCTTCCTCCCCTTCTCTCCTCTCCTCCCCTTCTTCTCTCCTCCTCTCCTCCCCTTCTTCTCTCCTCCTCCTCTTCTCTCCTCCTCCTCCTCTCCAGTACCCATAATATTCTTTATCTATATATAATTCATTACTTAAAGGTTAAATATAAATGACATATAAGGTTTATATACGACTAAGTCAATACTAATCGTATTGAAAAGTCTAATTGATTTTGAAAGATCTTTATACCGAGTGAGATTCTGTTTTGTTCAATCCCCCAAAGTTCCATTTTCTTACACGATATTTCAATCAGTTTCGTCGGAATTTCTCATTAGAATTCGCAGATTATCTTATAAATCACTAATGTCGTTTAGTTTATTATTTACGAGCAATATTTTCCTTTTTAAAATAAACCGAATAAATCCAATTAAGTTATCCGTAAAAAAATATATATATTACTTTTTATTTTAGCCCTGATTTAATTTACCTAAGTTGGCCATTAAAAGTTAAATTTTCTTTAATAATACCGAGTTAGATTGAGAGAAAACTGATTATTCTTAGAACCACAACACGATTGGTTAGGTTAGTTTGGGTTGGTTAGGTGAGGGATTGGTTAGGTTAGATTAGAACAAGGATTGATTAGGTAAAGTTAGTTTACGGATTGGTTGGGTTAGGTTAAGGGTTGGTTGGGTTAGATTAGGTTGAATTGGTTTAGGGATTGGTTAGGTTAAGTTAGTTTCAGGATTGGTTACGTTAGTTTAGTTAGTTTAGGGGGTTAGTTATGTGAGATTAGATTCGGGATTGATTAGATGAAGTTGCTTTCGGGAAAGCTTAGGTTAGAACAGAATATGGATGGGTTAATTTAAGTTACGGATTGTTTAGGAATTAATTAGATTAGTAAGGTAATATCCCTTTGTAATTGGTGATGTTTAGTGGCATTTAATTGACTTAGGTGAAATATGACAATGAGATGGAATCCAAGATGTAAATTTTCCTCTGAGACTCGACTGATATTAATTACGTGTGTGTGTCCGTCCGGGGTAGAGGAGGAAGAGTTTTTTCCCCGGAGCAATGCTGACAACCTGGCGGGTCACGATGGTGTATGGTGGAGCTATATGTGATCCAGTCATTTCTGTCTCCTTGATAGCTCACCCGTGATGCTCATCTGTTTAGTTATTTGTTTTATGTTGGTGTTGATGGATGTTCATTTGTTTGGATGATCAGGGAGGTTCCTACTTGTTTTTTAGGTGAGTTGCATTGTGAGTTTTGTTTCTACATGTGAAAGGTTTAGGTGTGTGAGGAAGTGTTGCGTGTGGTACTTGTAGGTGTGTTTTGTGTTGCAGTTGAGAGTGATTTGCAAGAACACGCAACATGATGTCTGTGTGTGGGTGCATCAAGGTCATGATTATTGCTCTCCGCCGGGCTAAAACATTATTATTATTATTATTATTATTATTATTATTATTATTATTATTATTATTATTATTATTATTATTATTATTATTATTATTATTATTATTATTATTATTTTTATTATTATTTTTATTATTATTTTTATTATTATTATTATTATTATTATTATTATCATTATCATTATTATTATTTTTATTATTATTGTGTTGACATTTTTGCTCATTTCTAAACAAAGAAAATTTTACTAGCAGGAAATTTATATAAAGTATGTATTTTTTTCTGTAGTTTATTATAATTATATATGTTTTTGTCTCCTACAGGTAAGTGCGTGGTGGTGGTAGGTGTGGTGCTGCCGTGCTGGTGGTGGTCGGTATAGTGTTGGTGTTGTCAGGTGTGGTTGGTAAGTTATGCTCACTATAAGTCACCAGGAATAATCAAGATGACATGTATTGAATTAATTATCGTAAGTATAAACGCAAGAATCCTTCAAACTATAAGAGATATAATGCAGGAAAAAAAAAGCATCAGAATCACAATTGAGACCCATAGAAGTATTTGTACTTTGCATTTAGACAGTAGACAAAATTTACATACGAGCGCTCTGTGAATTTGGACTCGGGATGTCTGTAAAGTAATTCTTGTCATTTGTTTTTATTAACGGATTTCGTACGTGACAGAGAAATAATACGTAAATGGCCTCAGAAAAGCCGTTGGCCTAAGTGAGGAGTACACATCACATCAAGAGTAATTGTTCACGCTGTATAAAAATCATGGAACGTGATGTTTTGCTAGATAGATGATGCTACAATTGGTTGGGTCACTGCACGGATTCTCTAGAGACGATCTCCAGGGACGCTGACATCGACTCACATAAGCCACAAGACGGAGATCAAATGAACATCCCCCCCCCCCCATATCACCCCAACCTCTCTAACCTACCCACCCTCATCTCCATCCTCTAACCCCCACCCACCCTCACCCCCATTCATCCCCACCATCCCAACCCTTCACCCTCAACCAAATATAGTATTTCACCTGATGATTAAACACTGGCAACGGAAATAAATCGACCATGAAAACATTACGAAAAATATTGTCCCGAAGTTGCTAGGTCAGGCAATCAATCTCCAAGAAAGTATTACCAGTACTATACATTATAGATATCGAATAAAATATAGAGTAAGAATCAATAAACTATGCTAGCGAAAGATGGTGATTTATACTATTTAACTTCTAATGGTGGTCATCATCAGTGGAAGTTAGCTGTAGGGACGGTGGTCACCATCAGTGGAAGTTAGCTGTAGGGACGGTGGTCATTATCAGTGGAAGTTAGCTGTAGGAACGGTGGTCATTATCAGTGGAAGTTAGCTGTAGGGATGGTGGTCACCATCAGTGGAAGTTAGCTGTAGGGACGGTGGTCATCATCAGTGGAAGTTAGCTGTAGGGACGGTGGTCATTATCAGTGGAAGTTAGCTGTAGGGACGGTGGTCATTATCAGTGGAAGTTAGCTGTAGGGATGGTGGTCACCATCAGTGGAAGTTAGCTGTAGGGACGGTGGTCATCATCAGTGGAAGTTAGCTGTAGGGACGGTGGTCATCATCAGTGGAAGTTAGCTGTAGGGATGGTGGTCACCATCAGTGGAAGTTAGCTGTAGGGATGGTGGTCACCATCAGTGGAAGTTAGCTGTAGGGACGGTGGTCATTATCAGTGGAAGTTAGCTGTAGGGATGGTGGTCATTATCAGTGGAAGTTAGCTGTAGGGACGGTGGTCATTATCAGATCAAATGATAAGTGCCTGAGGAAATTCAAGGATAGGTGGCCCAGAAGGTGAAAGGGCAGGTGGCTTAGATGCTGAAAGGAAAGGCAGCTTAGGTGAAGAAGGGGCAGGAGGGGTCATTCTAAGCTGATCCCCTGCCTTAGTGATGATTCTTGTGAATATTAAAGCCACGCTACAAAATAATTACATCGTCTGGTGATTTAATTTGACCATTTTACAAAATATTTACATTGGTGATTCATTTGACTGTTACAAAATAATTACATTGGTGATTCATTTGACCATTTTACAAAATATTTACATTGGTGATTCATTTGACTGTTACAAAATAATTACATTGGTGATTCATTTGACCATTTTACAAAATATTTACATTGGTGATTTATTTGACTGTTACAAAATAATTACATTGTTGATTCATTTGACCATATTACAAAATAACTGCATTGATGATTCATTTGACCATATTACAAAATAATTACATTGATGATTCATTTGACCATATTACAAAATAACTACATTGATGATTCATTTGACCATATTACAAAATAATTACAGTGATGATTCATTTGACCATATTACAAAATAACTACATTGATGATTCATTTGACCATATTACAAAATAATTACATTGATGATTCATTTGACCATATTACAAAATAATTACATTGATGATTCATTTGACCATATTACAAAATAATTACATTGATGATTCATTTGACCATATTACAAAATAATTACATTGATGATTCATTTGACCATATTACAAAATAACTACATTGATGATTCATTTGACCATATTACAAAATAATTACATTGTCTGATGATTTTATTGTTGTCGTCCACAGGATTGGTTATGGGGAAGTGACTCCTCGACTGAGACAATTCCCACGGTGGAGTTGACTTCGGAAGAACCAAGAGGAGCGTTTGTGTTCAGGGCTCGAGACAGTTCACAACACTCTGCTGATGACTACGAAGATGATTATGGCTGGGATAATGCAGAAAGAAGTGATACTGAAAGTGAACACACCATAGGGGACAGTGAAAATGAGCTTACCATAGGAGGCAGTTATGGTAGTCAAGCTGACGATGGTAGCCACCGTTCAGGAGATGATGGTAATAACAGTGAAAGAAAATACGGCTATAATTACAGTTATTCTTTCGGAGATGAAGGCAGTGAAAGAACTGGTGAACATGGCAACAAGTCCCCTGATGATAGCGGAACAACTGGTGACAGAACACATAATTTGGGACAGGGTTACAACTTCAGTTACTCTTATGGCACTGAAGGCGGTAACATTATCGATAATCAGAGAGACGACGACAGAACCAACTACAATTTCGGACAACAAGGCGACACCGACTCTAATTACGGCTACGGATCTCGCACTTATAACGAAACTACCCGTACTTATAGTTACGGAGTGAGTGGTGGCAGTGATGGAAATGATAGTGGCCATGGTGATGACTACAACAGGAGATATGGTGCAGGAGGGGCTGGTATTAGAAGAGAGTATGGTGCTGGGGATAGTGAGAGAAGGGTGTATGGTGAAGGATATGGTGCTGGAGGGGCTGGTATTAGACGAGAGGATGGTGAGAGAAGGGTGTATGGTGAAGGGTATGGTGCTGAAGGGGCTGGTATTAGACGAGAGTATGGTGAAGATGGTGAGAGAAGGGTGTATGGTGCTGGAGGGGCTGGTATTAGACGAGAGTATGGTGCTGGAGATGGTGAGAGAAGGGGGTATGGTGCAGGAGGGGCTGGTATTAGAAGAGAGTATAGTGAAGGAGATGGTGCTGGGGATGGTGCTGAGAGAAGGGTGTATGGTGAAGGGTATGGTGCTGGAGGGCTGGTATTAGACGAGAGTATGGTGAAGGAGATGGTGCTGGGGATGGTGAGAGAAGGGTGTATGGTGAAGGGTATGGTGCTGGAGGGCTGTAGACGAGAGTATGGTGAAGGAGATGATGATGAGAAGGGTGTATGGTGAAGGGGGTGCTGGAGGGCTGGTATTAGACGAGAGTATGGTGAGAGATGGTGCTGGGATGGTGAGAGAAGGGTGTATGGTGAAGGGTATGGTGCTGGAGGGGCTGGTATTAGACGAGTATGGTGAAGGAGATGAGATGGAGAGAAGGGTGTATGGTGAAGGGTATGGTGCTGGAGGGGCTGGTATTAGACGAGAGTAGGGAAGGAGATGGTGCTGGAGATGGTGAGAGAAGGGTGTATGGTGAAGGGTATGGTGCTGGAGGGGCTGGTATTAGACGAGAGTATGGTGAAGGAGATGGTGCTGGGGATGGTGAGAGAAGGGTGTATGGTGAAGGGTATGGTGCTGGAGGGGCTGGTATTAGACGAGAGTATGGTGAAGGAGATGGTGCTGGAGATGGTGAGAGAAGGGTGTATGGTGAAGGGTATGGTGCTGGAGGGGCTGGTATTAGACGAGAGTATGGTGAAGGAGATGGTGCTGAAAGAAGGGTGTATGGTGAAGGGTATGGTGCTGGAGGGACTGGTATTAGACGAGAGTATGGTGAAGGAGATGGTGCTGGCAGTGAAGTTGAAGGAACAAGATATGGTGCCGGAGGTGCTGGCATTAGAAGAGAGTATGGTGAAGGATATGGTGCTGGAGGTGGTGGTACAAGTTATGACAGCTCATCACAACCACAAGTTCAGCCAAGGCCAATTCCCAGACGTCCTGAGCAGCCAGCTCAAGAGGACTGTGGAGGTGGAGACTGTAGCAACAATGGCTGTAAATGTATCGGTGAAAAGGGCACCAGGGTAAGTACCTTGAGTAGATAAGATACGATGTTGATTTAGCCCAGAACCTAAACTTATTAATGTGTCATGATGCAGTATTATATTTCTCTGAAGGTAGAAAATAATAATAGTTTGTGCAGTACAAAGTATATTCCAGCTGTGACTGTGTGTAAACAAATATCAGAACTTTGGGTGAAACTAACATTCAAAATACAATTATAAACAAGACGGTTATTATTACAGGGATCACCAGGACCCTCAGGACGTCAAGGAGAGAAAGGTCAGCAGGGTTTCCCAGGGATGGAGGGTCTCATGGGACCTAAGGGCGGTAAAGGAGAGCCAGGGCCACAGGGTCCCACTGGACCCAAAGGTGATCGGGTAAGTTTATCCAGTTCCCCTGTTGCATGATTTTGATTTTACCATTGAGTTTATTTTTCTCAAACCTTGCATACAGTAATTTAGTAGATTTGTCAAGATTATTAAAACAATTATATATACAGTTTTACACTTAAAAATAAGTGTGTTCTAATAGTGTTGTAATTACAAAAGATATACTGTATGAATGTTTATCAGCCAATAGCTATAAACTGAATTACAGTATAGCAATACCAAAAATTTTAATTACAAAATTAGTTTATTTGGAGATAGGAAATTAATGGACTAGAGAAAAAACATTCTACAATTAATGAGTTTCTCACAGCACCACAAAGCCATAACAGTACTGTACTGTATTTACCACATTACCATGAAATATATGTATTACATCAGTTCTCTTAAACACCATGACCCTGGGATAGTTAGGTTAGTTTAGGTTAAGATGAAGTTCAGTGGTTTGAGTTATATAATTTACTTTGTGAATAAAAACAAAATTTACAATGGAGTTGTGTTTATGGTAATTCTCTGACATACTCCAGTTTGCTTAATTCTCCTGAGCAACGATCTCTTACTTCTTTTTACCATATTTCACCTTCAGTGCTCTGTGCTCTAAACAAAATGAGGCCTTTATATAATGGACTAGAGAGAAGTGACAGTACTCGAGTGTGATGCCAGCTGTAGTTCTTTGTAGACTGAAAAAATATATTAGTGTGTATTATTAGTCTTAAGTGTTGTGTATCCACACTGCCCCTAATAGGCTGTCAGGGTAATGGGACTGACAGTACTGGGTACAATAATTTCAGTCTGAAGTCAGTCTGACCATCTTGAGTTAGGCTGTTATTAAATATCTTTCATTTCCCTGTGATGTTTATCAGTTTATTTTATTTGAACAACTTTACCATTACAGAACTGTTGCTGTAAATTATTACTGAAGTTGTCTCACACAGATTATTTTTTCAGGGCAAAATGGGTCTTAATGGCTTCCCGGGCATCAACGGAATTCCAGGTATCCCAGGTCCCCCAGGTCCCACTGGTAGAGCAGGTTTGGATGGCTGCAATGGTACAGATGTAAGTATAGATGTAGCAGTCTACACCCTCAAGTGTATATACTATACCTCATTTACAAGTATTTTCTCACTATTGTACAACATGGCCAAAAACATGAGTAACACACATTCTTCATTATTTTATTTATTTATTTATCATTTCACCACTTATCAGGCAGTTGGTCTCTGTTGCTTTGTTATCACCTTTATATTCTAGTATTAGTACAAGAGGAAACCAGAAGTACCAGAGAAAACCCACAATATTTAGTAGGTTCTCACTGGATAACACTCTTCTCACAACTGTTCTGGGGCAGGCACACTGTAGTGAGAAGAGGTTTGCCATAAATTCCTTATCACCTTGAAGTAGCTGGACTTAATGAACATTTTCCAAAAGCAACTAAAAACGTTCCTGTTGATCATGTAAAAACTAATATTAAAGACGTGAGTGGCAGTGCTTTTATGAAGTAAACATTGGTGTTGTAAGGTGGCTGAGCATTCGTGATTTTGTTTATCTCTAGAAATAGGGAACTTTTGACATAAAAAAATATTAGTAGTACAATTTTAATATTATTACAGTATTATCACATTGATCTTGATGAAGACAGACATATGTGAACTTGACAACAACACAGTCATTCTTCAGTCTCAGCTGTGTTTGTGAGGTGCAGCATTACATGATATTGTTTAGATGTTGAGTGTGAGGTGAACATGAAAAGAATTGTAATTGCTTAGCAACTTCCTGAAAACTTTGAATAGGTTTTGATAAACAAGAAATATTATTACATTTGAAATTGTTGAACTTAGAAAAAAACATTGTGAATCATATTTGAGCTTAAGTTTTGAAATTGTACAACAATTAAATTAAGTTACTGTGACACTATTGAGTTTAGTCGTGAAGTTATGATACAGATGATGTACTTATGTTGCTATATGCTTCTGCTGTCTACAAACTTTTTCCACAGATGTACCCTGTCACCTTCCTCTTTCTTTAAGGCATCTTTGTCATTTGGTTCACCTCACACACCAGTGGGAGAGGAAGAAAGACCCCTCTAAGTTGGACTATGTGGGGCTTAAGTTTCCCAGTGGTGTTCCTTTGCCTTTACTTGCTTTAGAGGCCATAATAATATACTAGAAGCACTAAATATGAACAAAACACAGAGTGCATGGTGGAACAATGGTCACGACAACAAACACACGAGAACTGCTGCCCCACTTGACCCCTCTAAGCTGGAGTTCTTCTGACTTATGGGGATTTTCAGCTTACAGAAGTCCAAGTTACAGGGGATCTTACTGTAGCTCTGTTGATACTCTGCTATAATGATTCCTTACCAAGGATATTCAATTGATTTACTCATACAGTACTTGTACAGTATTTTTTCTGTGTACAGTAGTCTAAAAAAAATTTGGATGTATGTCAGGGCGAGAGAGGCGACCATGGCAACCCAGGACCGCCAGGACCACGAGGTTTCCGTGGACCAGAAGGCAAAAGGGGAGCAAAAGGAGAACCAGCAATTGGGACATGTACCACAAATAAGGGAGAAAAGGGAGAGTCAGGGCGGGATGGTAGACAAGGCCCACAAGGACCTTCCGGAATTGCTGGTCCCAGGGGTGACCCAGGATTCAGTGGAAAAGATGGACTCAAGGTAAGAAAACTCTACTTTGGTTTATCACTTTAATGCACCTGTTATGTTTATTACCAAGAAACTGAAGAAGTCTTGTTTCTATTGCCTTTATACTTTATTACTTTTATATTTAATTTATATAGATACAATCTTCTTTTTAACAACTACATAATAATTGAAGTAGATTATTCCTCTTGAGCATTGACTTTGTTTACAAGACAATTTTACCATGTCATTTATTTGCTTTATTTAAGAATTAAGTTTTAGAGTTCATAGTACCTGTATTGGTGCACAGTGATGAGGGAAATGCAGGTGTTGGTGCACAGTGATGAGGGAAATGTAGGTGTTGGTGCACAGTGATGAGGGAAATGTAGGTGTTGGTGCATACAAAAAAAAATATAGAATAAAAGAAGAAGTGAAGGGTATCAGCAACCAAATATATTGTCTGGAACAAAAGGAAGATCTAAAAATAAATCCACTGTTGTATAATAATTAACATTACCAGTTCAATCATTTAACAAGCTAAAAGTTGATACTGTATGAAGCAAAATTTAAATGTGAAACAGAATACAGCCAGACATCACTGCTGCAGGAAAAAATACACAATGAGGCGCTGTTGGGTCAAGGTACTTTACTGTTTTACCAGTACTAGAAGAAAAGTATCTAGATGGATTCAAAGGGAGCTTCTGGTTACACTAGTGGGATATAGAGGCTTGGGATGTGATAAGTGTCAGGAATGTCTGGGATTATTGAATGCTAAAGATTACTGGAAGTATTACCACAGATAGTTAGTCAATTAGGTCAGTCCACATAGCTTTAACCCTTCACTATTGACACCACTTATAATATTTATTTATTTAAATTTTTTTGCTTAACTCCAGACTGTTTTATTTAGCTAATAGGCGACCCTGTACACAAGGAGTTAGGTTTGACTTGGATGCAGAAAGCCACACACGTGTTTTTTTTTTTTTACCATCTGTTCGTGCACACTGCTTGATGATGCATGAATTTGCAATGCCTAATTTCCAATCTCTTTCACAGGGAGACAAAGGATATCCAGGACCCAAAGGTGAGAAGGGTCCAATGGGTGTAGCATTTATAGGAAAACCAGGACCCAGAGGCCCTAGAGGAGAACCTGGCGAGAGTTACAACTGTACTGATACAGGTTTTCTTGACAGTTGCAATACCACAGTTGTGGAGAAGGTTAGTTATTGTGCACATAATTTTTCTTTAATGTGAATGTTAAAAAAATGTGTAATTAATTGAATGTAATTATATCTGTGAACATGTCTTTTTATGTAGTACTGTACTGTACAGCAGGTGGTGTATGTGGCACTGCTTCAGATGATCTTTCATTTTTGAAGTCCTTTGGCTACTTTGATGCAGCATTGCCAGAATCAAAAGCAAGCCAATTTTTTTCTTATTTGCTATTTTCATTCACTCAGGATCGTTCATGTGAGAGCTTTCAGCAATTCATCTTATAACAGGGTCACTATAACACACATTATAGGATTTGATATGAAGATACCTTCCTAACAATGTTATTTACTACCTTTGAGTGATACATGATGGCTCAATTTGGCTATTAGTACACTTGGGCAACTGATTAATGAATAAACCAGGGTATATGCAGATGTATAATGCTGCACTCTACAATATTACTTAGGTGCTGATAAATACACTACAATATTATTTATTTAGTCATGATAAATGCACTACAGTACTGTACTAATTTACTAAGTGTTGAAGACATGTTGTAGTACCATGAGTGGTGAAGGATCTAAGCTGATCAACTGTTTGTCTTTTATAAACAAACGACTCATGGTGTTGAGTGTGGCATTCTTTTTTTTTCAGGAGTGTTGATTATTTTATGATAGTATTTTATCAGCCCAGCACCAGATTAACATAACTGATATGAAAATTATGGTGAAATTTAAAAAATGTCACAGCTGCCAGAAACCACACAAACTGGCAAAACGATATGAACCTAAAGATCATATATTTTTGTCTCATATCCAGAGCTTATGGGATGAATTTACACAGCCTGAATGTTCATAATGTGGGGATGATTGTATTAAGAATGAAGGAATGGCAACAAGAAAGAAGAAAGTTTATGGGTATTTGCTCTTCAGGAAAAAGCTTGAGAGGTTAAAAAAGAAAACATTACATCAACAGTTGTCCTGCAAGATGGCCACTGTAGAGCATATAAAACCAAGAAACTTATTAAGATAGTGATTTATGATACGTTTTAGACAAATATAGTCTAAATGAGCTAAAGGACGGACACTCGGATTATTGTTTATTACATAGGATAGATTGTATGCACCAAATTGTTCATAGAAACTGGGTGTTTTGGGGAAGTTTTATATAGGAACATATCACTGGCTTTATATTAGGAATCTATGGGAAAATGGGAAGTGATTTATACAAAATTGATTAATATAAAGTGTTTCATAGATCAGGGAATGGCTCAAGATTGTTTCATCATGTCCATAAGACTTCCATATGTTAGGCCACATATAAATACTTATTGAAATAATACCTTTGGACAAATGCAAACGTCATCCCTCATGCCATGGATATTCAGGATGAAAAATTTCTTATTTGTTGAATTATATGTTACAGATAACTTTTCAAGGATGTATCCCTTTCATGTGTTAGTCACACATAATTTTTTCTCTTTAATTTGATTTTATTTAATACTACTCACATTTATTCAGATATTAATGTGATAGTGTGTGTTCACAGGCCATTCAGGGTGATAAAGGCATGGAAGGCCCCAAGGGCTCAAAAGGCAACAAAGGTGACCAAGGTGAAAAGGGCTACAAAGGTCAACTTGGGACCAAGGGAGAAAAAGGTCTTCAAGGCCTCCCTGGACCACGGGTAAGTGTTAATATTGTTGATCTACATGGCCAGAAAACACACATTATAACCTTTATGTCTCACACCTTGCATGTATGAAAGAACTCGCTTTAGTTAGCAAGTCTAGTTGTTTGAATCTCCAGGGCCTGAAATTGTGTGACTCATGATCATCGTCATTTTACAGCCATTTATCACACTCACAGAAACTAGGGGTATTTGCTCCACTTTAAGCTTAGATTTTAATGAATTTTTTGAGACTAATATGCTGTGTTTTGAATGGACAAGACCCTCTGATTTACCGTTCAAAATTGATAGTAGGTGTTCACTGCCTGAGTGGATGCTGTGCTCACTACATATCCTAAGGCTACTTGTTCACACCAGGCCTGTAGCTGTTCTGCTCCTAACAGACCTATCAAACCCACTTTTAGATAATTGTTTAGTTATATTTTAAACCAGACTCCTTCTCTTATCACATCATGGTGAAAGGGGGAGGAGATCAGGGTTGACCACAGGGGATAAGGAACTTGAAAGTCATTTTAAAGGATACTGGAATGAGATGCTTCATCATCCAGGTCTTTCAGGAGAATTAAAGCAGAGAAAACCTCATAGTAACTTGGACACAAACAAGATAAAGCACATGAAATTGTGAAGTTTACTTTCGTTCAACATTCAGTGCCAAATGAGCCACTATCCAAAGTCTTATAAAGATCAGGGTGCCTATGATGTTGGTTTAGGGTTGCCACCACTGAGCAGGTGAGATGGAACTTAGAAAGGGCCATATGATGGACCTCTTTTGCCTGAAAGGATGCCTTTTAGTATGTTCCTATACTTAAGCTCGAGGAATTTCTAAATGTTCAGTGTAGATAAAACCTATTACCAGTTCCAGGTACTTCATGGAGGATGACAATAGCATCTAAGAATATTCACTGAGATATCAGGATGTATTTAAGGCTTATTTGTAAGGGAAGTAGAGAAAATGGAGGAGTAAGATGCTCTGTAGCTGTGTGCAGTGTACACTAGGAATGGTCCAAGTGAGCTTACTGTAGTGATAATCCCTCATCATCTGAAGGATATCTGCTCTCTCCTGTCTCTAGTACAGTTTCTTACAACATTGTGAGGAAACAGTGAGAGGTAGATCTCAGCACCTCTGGTGTTAGGAAGATATTTGTCATTGCATCTACCTTGGCAATTTACACACACACACACGTGTGTGTGCGCGCGTACGTGCAGTGTATTTTTAGGTGGACCTGTGGTGAATAGTGTTTGAGTGTGTATTTTGTATACAGCTTCAGGAGCTGTATGGTATCAGAAATATGTATCTATAATTAAGATCGTGATGTAGGCATCACATAGTTTGTTATTATTATTTTTAATACGTAATGTTATTAATATTACAGTACAGGTATTATTATTATTATTATTATTATTATTATTATTATTATTATTATTATTATTATTATTATTATTATGATTGTAGCTTGAAAGTGAATTAATGAGTGATAATAATAGTTTCTGGAGAGATTGTAAGATTACTTCATCATGACAGTGATGTTTGCACCATCTTAAACATCTATTGAAAAAACTTTGTTTTAAAGTTTTGTATGTTTCTGTTCACTTGAACTTAACTTAGAATCTTAAAAGAACTCTTTTCTGAAACGGTAAGTTATCTCTTAAACCATCACTTGTATAGTGTGTTAACCATGAATGTTTAATATCTCTCAGGGGCGCGAAGGTCCTGCTGGCCCTCCAGGACCCAACGGATACAAGGGTGATCGAGGCACTGATGGAATGGATGGTCTGCGTGGCGTAAAGGGAGTTAAGGGTAACGAAGGTTATTCTGGCCGTGATGGTAGGAAGGGTGACCGAGGACCTCCTGGCCCCTCACAGGTACTGTAACCTTTACTATGTTACATTAAGTTAAAAGATTTATGTTATTTCCACCACTTGTCAACATATTAGCTGTTGGCCTGTTCTTTGTTGTAGCCTTTGTTGTCCAGCATTAGTACAGGAGGAAACTGTAGTATCCAAAGAAACCTGCCATGTTTGGTAGTGTTAACAAAGGGTAACTCCTGTCTCAGTCCAAGGATTAAACTCAGGTCACTGCTCGAGAAGTATGCATGTCACTGTTGTACCACACCAACTATTTTTATTAATACCCTGGAGGAAGAGAAGCAAAATTATAGAGCATAAAACTAAAAAAGAAAGTTCAGGAAATCCTGTAACAAAAGTGAAAACTGTACCAAACCTAACCTGTATATATTGAACTTGTCTTTGAAAAGGTTTGGGAGAATAATGGAGTAGTATGAAAGGTGCTTGTTTAAGAATATTATTAAAAGATTGTAGAATAGAGATTATAAAAAATGGAAACTTTTCAGAATTTTTTACTGGGATTAGCCCACCCAGGCACAGGTCAATATCTTCTTGAATGTAAAGAACAGATGGAAGTTAAAGAATCTCCTGCTCCTTGCTCCTCCCGTCCCTCCTCCTCCTCGTTTCTATTATTTGTTCATTATTTATTGATCAACAAACATAACCCTCCATCTTAGGGTGGAGAGCCAGGGCCCCAGGGACCGCCCGGCTTACAAGGTTTGCCCGGTCCCAAAGGAAGAGATGGCAATGATGGACTCCCGGGTCCACGAGGTTTTCCAGGTGAAACGGGGGGTCTTGGACAGCCTGGTAACCCCGGTAGAGAGGGAGTTCCTGGACGTAAAGGAGACAAGGGCAATGGGGGTCGACCAGGTATGGGGTATAACCACACCCTTGATTTTTAATATTATTAATATTATTATTATTAATATCATTATTATTATTACTGTATATGTATTTAGCATTTTACTTCATATCAACTTACTAGCCAGTAAGGCCGTTGGTCTTTTCTTTGTTACTTAAACCTTTAATGTCCAGTGTTAGTGCAGGAGGAAATTGCAGTACAATACTGTATATGTGGAGAAAACCTACGATGATTGGTCGGGTCACATTGGATAACACCCTTCTCACATCTGTCTTGACCTGGGAATGAACCCAGGTCACAGGAATGAGAAATTATTAAATGTTGTTTTGGCAAAACCTGTTCTTGTTTTAAACCATTGTATACGGGGTCTCCTCTGAGCAGAATAAAATTACCTTGTGTTAGCCTAATAAAATATTAAAAGTGGCCTCCCAATAGTGAAGGGGTTAATTTGTCTCTCATTTCTACCGTCACAACATTATTTTCTACTTTTTTGAATGAAAAATGACCAACTTGAATGATTATACAATACTGTATTGCCAAAGGTCAGAAAAGAAAAAGAGGAGAAATTTGTGTTTGGTAATACTGTGGAATATTTTTTTCTTTCTGAGTAATACAAAAAGTTAGGAGGATAACCAGGTTGAGTGTGGAAAATGATGGGTGCCTTGGTGAGTTATGTATGGGCAGGTCTCACTATTTTTGTGTGCTAAAATATTAGAGCTCAGAAGTGTATCTTGTTCCATTAGCAAGAGGAATAAATCAATAATATTGCTTTAACCCTTCAGGTCAACCAGGGCCCGAGGGTCCACCTGGGGCAACCGGTGAACGTGGTATATCAGGACTTCCCGGACCAAAGGGAAACAAATGCTTTTCCATTCCTGTAAGTTCATCAATATTACTGTACCATTAAATGTTTTGATTATACAACAGTATTTGGGTTGGTGTATTGTGAATCTTTTACAGTCTTGATAAATTACTGTAGTGCCACCACATCAAAGCATCTTTCAGATAACATGATTAAGTTAAAAATTGGTGTTAGTTCCAAAAATTTTCAAGTGACATCATTGAAGTTAATTAGTTGTTGGTATTCTAGTAATATTTTATGTCTCATTCACCAGTTTTTCTCCTCTAATAGCTGCTGTTTAATTTCTTGTCATTAGCTATGTTTTATAAAGTTTTATGTTGTGTTTACCAAAGATTATCAAAGAAAAATTTAAGTTTGTGTTACATCTGATGTACTGTAGTGCATTGTTGAAACATCGTATGTAAACACGTTGCATAATCAATTATTTATTTATTATTTATAAAGCTAATAACACGGTGTCATCCCACTTTGACATTTCCCACTTAGACGATGATCTGTTTTTTGCTATATTTACCATCTTAAGTTAAGTGATCAGGTTAGGTTACATTAAATTGCATAAAACAGACAATTGTCCAATTGGGATGTAATCGACAACACTGCTGATACCTATTGTGTTAAGTTGGTCAAATGCATTTTAAAAAAATTGTCAGTTTTGGAATATTGCACATAGGACTGGAAATTTTATGGAACTGCAAATTCTGATCAACATTAGCAAACTAGGTGCCATAGATAGCCATGCCTGATTGACCATGGGTATGAGAGAGTCACACCCACTGTATGAGTGTCTATCAGCTCCATGAGTCATAAATCATGCAGGTAGGTATAATACAGTACTGTACCTTTGATTAATATCTTCATTAAGCTGAATCATTCTTGAGACTGATATCTCCAGTCATTCATATTACTTTGCTTTAATCCCTTCAATACAGGCACATCACTTTTAACATTTGGCAAACACCAAATGATCTTATTCAGCATAGAGAGATCCTGTACACATTGGGTTGTAACTTATCCACTGTTAGGCTGTTTTTCACTCCTTTAGCACCATCCTCAGACGTGCTTTTAAAACTTAACGACATGATTTATGACTCAAACTTTCTGTAACTCATTTTGCTTCACCCTTCTACCATACTCTAGTAACTGTCACTGTAAATTATCTACAGTCTATCATTTGCATACAGTGCCCAGACATTGTCAGTATACTTTCTTCCTTGTACTCTACCTGGGATGTCTTTCTCTACATGTCTTGAAAATTGCATTAATTAATCACTTGTATTTGTCTGTAGACAACATGCTGGTTTATAATGTGTTCTCAAGTTACTCCACCAGCCTAGTCTGGAAGGGCACATGCATCTTTTGTTCTTAATTTTCTCTTGCCATAATATGCTTTGCTACTGTCAATGTTGTGGAACAATTTCCAAATACTGTATAAATGAATACATTTAAGACTCCTGTTCATTCACTCCCTCATTACACTGAGAGTGTCCAGTCCTTGACACTCTACACTAAAACATTACTCATACTGGTGTTTATTCTCTACATTCTCCTCTTACATACTTCATCAAAACAATTTATCAATCTCCTTCATTATCTCCCTCAACTTATCATCCTAAATAGGGAGAGCCAGGACGTGATGGAACATCAGGACGTGATGGTACGCCAGGTCCCCGAGGTGCACCGGGCCCTGAGGGTCCTCAGGGTATCCCAGGTGACAGTATAAACGGGATCCCTGGACCTGGAGGAGAACCAGGAACCGTTGGCTTCCCGGGTATCCCTGGTAATCCTGGAGTAGATGGATTTCCGGGTTAGTTATTTACTTGATTTTCTATTACATTTATTGTAGTGTCTCGTGTACAGTATGCTAAGTATTGTATCATATCTACTTAACTGCTCATGTTATCTCATACACACACTTGTGTCTGCTTTTATGTGTAAAGATATAAACCCAAACTGTGTACTGTGCAGGCCGTGATGGACCAAAGGGGGATAGTGGTTTGGACTGTGAATGTGAGCAGTGCGATAAAGGTGAGAAGGGTATCAGAGGGCCTGACGGCTTGCCTGGTATTGAAGGACCAAGAGGATTACCAGGAGCTATTGGGTACCAAGGAGAGAGGGGTGAAGACGGCACACCGGGAATAACAGGTTTACCTGGCAACGAGGTAATTGACAACTAAATGACAAGTGTTGTAGATGACTTTGTTCATGTACAGGTACATTGCAGACCCTCAAAGCTGGATCTCACAAAATCAGTGGTTCTTATAAAGCAGACTATATTGTATCGAAAAGTTAGTTAGGCAGAAAAGTTGGATAGAAGACAGTCTTAGAAATTTTGAGCAAAACTTGTACTGTGTTTCTGAATTTTTACCATACAGTATATATATTTTTCCATATTATCCAGGGTACCCCAGGCTTACCTGGAGCTTCAGGAAATAAAGGTGATAAGGGTGAAGCAGCTTTCGCCTTGCCAGGTCCTCCAGGCCCCAAAGGTGATCTAGGACAACGAGGACTTCCGGGAATTGATGGACAAAAAGGAGAGCGAGGTTTCTCGGGAAGAAATGGCTTGCAGGGTTTGCCTGGTCCAAAAGGTGACGGTGGACTGCCAGGTAAGAGATAAGTCATATTGGCTGATGTGGGACTGTTACTGTTACATTTACTTTTTAAATATTTTAATATCTATTGTCATGAATGAACTGGTAATACTTCATCTTAAGAGAAGTAGATATTTAGTGATAAAGGAAAGAACCCCAACTAAAGTTACCAAGATTCTAGAGGTGAGTCACATACTTTCAAAGATGATTTGTACATTACAGTACACTACAAACTTTGCTGCTCTCTCTCCCCATAATGTATACTGTACTGGTAAGCAAATGTTATTGAATTGTTGAATTGAATTGAATTGTAACAGTTTATTTAGCCAGAAAAATACAGATACAGAGTGGATAATAATAACAATATTAACATGGCTGAGCCAGTTGAGAACCTGAGCTCTCTTTGAGGCACCTGATATATACTATACATTTATCTCAAGGAAGTTAGGGATGGGAGTTTGAAATATTGTTGTATGCAGTGTCTATATATATAAAAGGATACAGTAGTTAGAAAAAGAAGAAAATATGCCCCTAAAAAACAGAGAAGAAAAGAAATGGGTGTAATCGCAGAAAGTAATGCGGATGTCGTTTTATGGGTGTTGGAGCAATTTCCTAACGTAGGGCTTAATGTTGAAACTGAAGTAGAATATCTTGTGACCTTGGCTGGATAACAGTAGCCAGGAATACAATGATGGTTGTTTAGGGATCATATAACTAACCAAAGAAACATAATACTGATACAATACTTCATTTTTGGAGTTAAAAACAAATCATTCTATAAAGAGTTGATGGTAGTAAATAGCATAGATTAGGTTTAATCATTTGAAGGCAGCTAAAAAAAAAAGAAATATTTAAAATGGGGGTAGGGAGGACTCAAGTAGACACATTAGGATAAAGGTAATGGTGTTAGTGGAAGTGTGAGCAGGGTATCATTAGGACTCGGTGGTTAGGTCAGGTTAGGTAAAAGTGGAAATGTAAGTCATAGTGAGAATGGGAGGAATATAGAAATATATGACAATTTAATTTTTATTTATTTTGTATTATTATTATTCTATTAGAGCTGTATGAAATGAGAAAATGAAGCTCGGTTTTATGCAAGTTACTGAAAGATTGGTGGTTGAAATAATTTATGTGAAAGGAAGAGATACACTTGATTATAAATAATTAAATGTAGGGAGGATGAGGTATAAGTGTGGGAGAGTAGTGCTTGTATGACTAAACCTTCAAGATTGTTGTCTAACTTGGATATTTAAATTATTTCATCACTGACTATATTTTAAGATGGCAAAAGTTGATATTATTTACGTGAATAGATTAAAATTCCTTTGTTTAATGCAGAAATTCTGATTTCTTAGGTCAAAATGGACGTAATGGCATTGATGGCCAAAATGGTCAACCCGGATTTTGTGAAAAGGGTGACATTGGTGTATTTGGTCGGCCAGGCGATAAAGGTGAGAAGGGAAAGACTGGTTTACCAGGTCAAGATGTAGAAGCGGAGTCAATCTGTAAATATACAGAAGGTCCTCAAGGTCTACAAGGTACCCCTGGACCAAGAGGAGAGCCAGGCGACAAAGGAGATCAAGGTCATACGGTGAGAAGACCTCAATGTTTACTACCTTGTGAATGACTTGACTGTGTCATCTCAGTTTGGTTCCCAAGTTTTCAGTAGTTGTAGACTCACAACCTCTTCTAAGTAAGTGCCTTGTGTGTATATTGTATATCCCAAATTTTGTATCCCAGTGGCTTTGTATCCACAATTATATGAGTAAAGAGTAAACTGAAGTCACACTGCAGTATACTGCACTCATGTTGAGTAAGACAGAGTGAACTGAACAATTTCATTTTACAGTACTTGAATGATTCACTAACACTGTAAATACTTTGCTCATTATTTGATTAATTCTGAAGTCATCATCTATTTATATTCCATCTTTCATTTTTAAATAGTGTATGGTATGGTAAGAATCTTTTTCAGTGTAAGTAAATTCATGTCCTTCCCTGGTAATACTGTACTGTATGTCAGACATGTTTCAACACTGAATGTATTTTCTTTTTTATGCCTACTCTGTGTATATAGAACTGGATATAGTACAGTACTTTCATACATCCATCATAAGTCATGTAAATTGGTACATCTCTATAAGTTAGATGTTCAAAGTGCAGTACAGTATTTGAGTGCTTTGTACATAAGTCATACACATGTATTGCAAAAAAAAGCTTATATTTATTGTTATAAACAGAGAACTGGAAGGAAATGGAACATATGATGCAGAAAACTTGGATTAATAACACTATCAAAATAATAACTTACTCTGTACACTGAAATATTCATTAGAGTAAATGAGTACAGTATCATGTTGAACTACTGTAACTGCTGGCCAAATTAAGTGTTTCATCTGATGGCTGGTCAGTTCCATCTTTCATGGAATAGAATCTTAATGTACAATAAAATAGGGAAATGTTTAACAAGTGTACATAGTCTCTAAACATATACAAATTTTGTCTCATTCCATAGGTGGTGTATTTGTCCTATTAATTTAAAGTGTAGTTATAAATAGAGACATGTCGGTCCCCATACACTCAAATCTTCATGGGTCAGAAATGAATAAAGAAATGAACATGAACTAAATGGAACACCATGAACATTCAGTATGACATCAGGTATCATACACATAGCAGTAACATTGTAATGGGTTACATGGGGGTGTTGAATACAGGATATTGTACTGTGAACAAGTCAAGCGAGGACAAGGAAAATACGAAGAAAATATCATTGTACTGTACTGTACCTCACAAGTCAAGCTCTGTAACTTTAGTTCAAGCTTATTTTATTTATTTATTTATTTTTTATTTTTTCAATTTGTTTGTGAAACCTTGACAAATGATTTATTGTTCCAGGGTCTAAATGGTCGAGATGGTCCTCCTGGTAACACAGGCCCACATGGACCTCGAGGTCTTTCAGGCCCAAGAGGTGACAAGGGAGACAGGGGTCCAGCTGGCCTCACTGGTGATGATGGAGTTCCAGGGCAGCCAGGTATCCCTGGTCGATTTGGACTCAAAGGTATGTGGATTTAATTCAAAATTGGATCTCTAAATGAATATACTGTACTGTACAACCTGTTATATTTGCCAAGTGAATATAATAAGAATAGTTTTGAAATTTGTAGTTGCAAATTTTCTTGTTGAAAAATTTAGTTTTTGTTTCAGTAATTATAAAAGTTTTGTAAATTGTTCCTGTTTAAGGAAAAATAATATTAGTATGTAGCAGCATTTTTCCACCGTAGTACCTGCGGGCAATTATACATCCTAGATGAATAAATTTCTTTTAAATTGGTAAAACTGGTGTTTTTAACTCATTTAGCTTGTATTTTATCATTAAACACCTTTGAGCAATAGCCACCCAGTGAGAGAGAGGGGGCAGTCACACCCAGGCCTCTCCAATCCTGACCCTGAAAGTGCTAAGTGATGATATTGCCAGGACAGTAGAAAGAAATCTTGTACTGCAAAATATAAAGAATGAAAATACTATAAGCAGATTGGTTTAAAGAGGTTAGAAAAGAAAGAGAATCTGGACAGAGATGATGATAACGGAGTAACATACATACTGTACGATGAAGCAAACAAGACAAACTACATGATGGACCTGATCCAGCAAACATTATCCATTTAGATGTAAATGGTATGTTTCATAATCATGTTGATAAGAAAGTCACCATGAACAAATATGCAAACTAAAGACTTTCTTTTTTTGCAGGTAATAAAGGAATGGACGGTCGGCCAGGTGTCGGGAGGCCAGGGACACCAGGAAATCCCGGTTCAAAGGGCGAAAGAGGTTTGTCCGGACTGCCTGGAAAATCAGGATTACCTGGTCCTCAAGGTAAGGATGTGCCTTTATGTTAGATCTAATGGTCGTACGTAGTGCATGAAAACGATTCTTTGATGGATAAATGAAGATCATGAGAAAAGTACAAACATTATATATTGAAAAGATAACATGTGCAGAGTATATGAGTGTTAGAGGAACATTGGCATAAGTGAAATATAACTTTAAAATGACTGTGTTGGTGTATGTTGCATTACTGAATAACTTAATATCTATATACTTTTTTGGGGGAGATATATTTTTATTCCTAATGCATCAAACCTTTACTGAGACAGAGTGCTGGACAGGTGCTTATCCGTTGTGTCTTCATGTATAATAGTAATCTCCTTATTCATCAAAGTACATTCAGTACATAGTGAAGTAGAGAGATCATTGTTTTTATTTCTCCCAAGGTCCTCGTGGTACACCTGGTGTTAAGGGCAACAAAGGTACTCCAGGTCTCAATGGACTGAATGGCATGAAGGGTGACAAGGGTAACGTAGGCCTTCCTGGACGCATCGGACCAGCGGGACCTCACGGACTACCGGGACTTGATGGACCGAAAGGTTAGTTGGACTTTTTTAATCTTTACTTAAAAATAACAAAAATAACTTCTGAAAGATATATAAGTACTGTACAAGGTCAAGACTCTTCACATGTACAGGTATCTCAGTATTACTGTAAATGTGTGTGTGTGTACACACACACACACACACACACACACACACACACACACACACACACACACACACACACACACACACACACACACACACACACACACACACACACACACAAAAACATGCAAATAAATAATAATGGAAAATTCTCTCACAAATTATCAGAAACAAGACAACAAAATGTATTGAAAATTAAAAAAAAAGCGAGAGTCTACCCTCAAGTCAACTCTATGCTTTGTTAGGTTGGCTGGGTTGCCATATGGCAATTTTTTCCTCATAAAAATTACTGTCTCTAGAACGAATGGCATCAGAGTACCAGCTGGTTGATTCGTAGATCAAACTTACAAAATTTCTTTCATGGCCATCTAGCCAACCTAACATGAAGGATGTCTGTAATTGTGGTGTAATACTGTACTTTTTTCACATTTTGTATGTAGGATGGTGTGTGCATGTAACTGAATAAAAATAAAGAGAGTTAAATATATCTACCCAAAAGTGCGAGTTGAAAAACAACCATAACACCTCACAGCCATAGTTTTCTTAAAATAATATACAGTACAGGTCCCCCTCTACTTAAAAATGTTCAACTTACAAACTTTCTGAGATACAAACATCATCACTGAGATACAAGTATCATCACTGAGGGGGGTTACCTGCCAGAACAGGTGTTTAATGTGGATGAGACTGGATTATTTTGAAGAGAATTCCAGATAAAACAAACAATACCTAAGAGGAGAGTGAGCCAGGTTTTAAGGCTGTATTAAAGGGTATAGCTGTACTAAATATCCATAATTTTTTCATTTTTTACAATATGTTTGGTATCTACAAGAGTAAAGTTGGACTTACAAACAAGCCTCAGGAACGTAACTCGTTCGTAAGTAGAGGAGCACCTGTATACAGTACCAGGAAATGTGAGGAGTAAATAAAAATAATACCAATAAATAAGTTACAACAAAAAAATACTATTGCCAAACCCGTAAATGAAAGTCAAATGAAAGTTTTAACACAGTCGCCTTTTGTATACACTATCTGTTCCACCATAGTAACGAAGATCAGCTGGGACGCCGATTCCCTAGCAACGCTCCCCACCCTTTTCACTCTGCACTCTCCTCCCGTTAAGTGTTTTCCCTTAGGATAATTTTTTCTTTTACCTTTTTTCACAATATGTATTTAAGAAGGTGTGTGCATAAAAATAAGTGAAGAAAATTACGTATATTTACCTGAAAATATGAGTTGAAAAAACCATAACACCTCACAGCTTGGCCAACTAATCTAGTGGTTACAATGATGAGCTAACCTAGCTACAATGCCATGATTAATCACTATTAAACAATATTCTATCAGTAAACACTAATAATAACAGTAAATCCAGTGAAATATGGTACGGAGTGAGGAGAGTTACAACTGCAAATGACGCACTAACTAGCAGTCACTCACCCACTACTGTTACCAGGCGTACGTATGGGAGAAATACATGACCTTCTTTTTATCCGCAAATTGTAGGGGCAAGCTGTAGCTGTGCATCATTTATATGTAACTTCTAATTTGTTCTATCCTTGTGCATCAAGAGTCCATGTTTCACACCAGTTAATGATATCAACTGGACTGTCACTCCCAATATCCCCATTTTGTAGAGGACTAAACTATAGGTCACAGAAATTTATCTTTTTGTCTCTGTATTGTCTTTACTCCATTCATACTTTTGTGTTGCTTGTTTGAAAGAGAAGAGTATCAAGATAGAAGTGGGAAGAGCAGTGCCAGGTAACTGTCAACACCAAGATATCAAGTAGAAATATTCTCGTTAGTTCATATCCACGGCTTGCGTACATAATGTTTTGAACAGGGAGTTTTAGAGAAGGGCATGTAAAGGGTGAGTGTGATGGAATATGAGATGCTGACTAGTTGACAATACAATAATGATAACTGATTTACTCTAGTCTTTTATTAGCTCTTGCACATCTTACATATGTTTATAATTTTTACAGGTATTGCTGGAATACCGGGTTCCCCAGGCTCACCTGGTGTTATTGGCCTCCCGGGAATTAAGGGAGAACGAGGCTTCCCAGGTCAATTAGGAAGTAAGGGAGCAACTGGTCCTTCAGGTCGACCAGGTAAGTGTATATAGAGACGGTATTTTTTTTTTTTTTAGTTTAATAACATTGAACTGCAGTATTTTTTCCTTCAGGGTTCACCTGCCCAAAATATTAATTTCATCATATTTCATGTAGCCTGTATGATAAATATTTGTCCTTTGAAGAGATTACAATACAGTAGAACTCCTGAAGAAGGTAAAATTAAAGTAACACCTAGAATAGCTCAGTACAGAATGTCTTTTAAAACAGATATTTCATGTTGGTGTTTTCAATGTCAGCCTTGTTATGCTGTTAAACTCAGGGAAACAGCAACACAAGGGGAATCACCTTTAGTCAGAAAGCTTAGAATTTTTTTTATTTCTCCATCTACTATAGGTGCATTTGGGCAACCTGGCCTTGATGGTAAACCTGGCTTACCAGGACCCAAGGGTGTTATGGGCATTGAAGGGTTTCAGGGTAGCCCCGGAAACCCTGGCCTTCCAGGTCTTCGTGGAACCGCTGGGTTGAAGGGTGACATAGGTATTGCAGGAGCTCCAGGTGAGCCGGGTCTTCCAGGACGAGAAGGACTACCAGGCTTCAAAGGTGACCGTGGACTTATGGTGAGTAACTTGCTTTAATACTCTATTGGTAAACAATGGTTGAACTTTTTTAGTTTTGTTCTTTTTCTTACTTTTCACAGGTTACATGCTAGATGATACTCCAGTTAAACAAAATACAAGTGAAAAGGAGAAATGCAAAATGTATAGAGGAATCTTTAGCTGATTATATGAATATACATACTGCACTGTACTGTACAGTACTTGGAAAGATACATAACAAGGGGAGGGGGGGTAATTGAAGTGGTGAAATAGTTGTAGGGTATTAGATAGATAAGGAAGAAGGAGAGTCTGGGGAATGTAGGGAATATGATGTGGATCAAATATATACAGAGAAACAGATCGCCCGGAAATATATAACAAGATATGAGAGCCTTTTTACCATTCATAAATAGTCAGATGATATATGAAAGAGTGAATTGGGAGGCACTAACAGAGAGTGATGAGAATTTATGGTGTGGGAGGAAAAGTCATTGACTACAAAAACAAAACCAGTGGACTAGTCTTGTCTTGCTGCTGTGAAACTAATGTATGTTTTTTATTTACCTTTAAATTCAGAAAGTAATTTCTGTAGTTCAAGTTCATAGTAGAGACTTGTATCATATCCTTGGGGTTAACCTCTCATAATTTTAAATTAATAAAGGCAGCTTAATTAGGCTGTTTTCTTTGTTTCATATATGATGTGTAGTCAGACTAAGAAACTAAATATTATAGAGCATAGATCTCATATATGATTACAGTACTAATGTCAGTAACACAACCATACCTCAGAGGATACACTTTTTCATCTGCCTTTTAGAGAACACTGTCTTTTAATTTTTGTTGTAAAATAGTTCATGAGTCTTTGACAGAAGCTTTTATTTTCAGTACTCAGCCTCTTGTGATTTTTAAAATACTATTTTATTTAATTTTAAATTTCATAGTTTTAATTTATGATTTTCTTTTTCGGGGCCAATAGTCACAGGCTGCTGTGCTAGATATTTCCGGATTACTTCAGGCACTTTATCACCTTCCAATCAGCTCTTGCTATCTTCCAGGGTGTACAACATTCTGTGCTATATCAAGGATTCAAAGAAGACTTTTTGTCGTCATAATCCGATAAAATGTATGAACATGTTGCAGACTTTATTTGTAGAATCATAAATAAATGCTTTGCAGAAGGTGATTTTGTGTGATCTGAGAAACAGGCTTTATTGTGAACCTTTTAAAGAAAGCTGGTCTTGGTACTGAAAATATGTCAAATCATCATTGTTCAAGAACACATCCATTCCATAACACAGGGTCCAGTGTACATATTATTATTACCATCATCATCATCATCATGAGTAGGGATTGATCATTAAAGACTGCTACTGTATATGGCTGGGAGTGATTGTTTGTTCTAACTCCCAGCTTCCTCTCTGGGTAGGGAATGAAAGCTGTGAGATTGAGGAATACATAATGGTAAGAGAGTGATAATTGATCCCATTTTCTATGGCCAGGAGAAGCAGAAAATATTGTGATTTGGTGATTATTATGTCCTCAGTGATGACACACCTCCTTCAGAAATCTGTGTGTTTCAGAACTGAATATCTGTAGTTCAGTTGTTCAGTATATTCGAAAGAAAACTGCCTTTGTAGCTCAGCTGTTGTGATCAAACATAAAATTACAGACATCTTGGACACATTTGGTTAACATACACAAGACCATTTGCACCTTCTTGTTCATGAGACCAGATGTCAGAATCAGTTCCTCATTTTCTGCTTGGAAAAAGGATTGAATACATGATTAAATTACAGAGGTAAAAGGAACAAAATCAAGTACTGTATATATAGTAATTTATTTACAGACAAAGCAAAACTTTTAACATATATATATCATTACAGGGCCCCCAGGGAGTACCAGGAGTATCAGCCGCTAAAGGTGAAAAGGGTAATGAAGGTCAGAAGGGTAATGCTGGGTTACCAGGGAGACTTGGATCACGTGGACCCACGGGTCTTCCTGGTCCAAAGGGCCGTGATGGATTTGGTCTGCCAGGTCCTGCGGGAGACCGAGGAGTTCCTGGAGCACCTGGTCTGGATGGTCGTGATGGACCGTCTGGTCCTCCTGGCAGTGATGGAGTTGCTGGCTTCCCTGGCCCAAAGGGAACAAAGGTAAGTATCATATTGCTATACAGTGCAGCAGTATTGTCATTGGCTGTACATAGGCTGTATGACAAGATTTCTATAATTTCTTGAAATTGCCATGTAAAAGTTTGTGGTCTTAGCCTCTGGCCAGAATATGTGAAGCTTAAAGATAATCTCATAAGTTAACTTAAAAGTAACAATCGTTGATGAGAGTCAAGTTAGCGTGATCAATCACTCACTTTCTGGCAATAAGACAGTATAATTAACCCTCTTGTGCACACAATAATATTCTAAGTTTCTGCATTACTGGCTTCATTATTATTTTGGCTTTAACCTAGGCAGAAAAAAGTAAGATGAGAATAAGATTTTTTTATGCCGATTAAAGAATTTTATTTCCCTGCATCATATCTCGAATATTTTCTTGTAAGCCTACCAAGGTGTTATTGGAATGGAACCAGAATTTTATGTGTTTTCCAACTGTGGCTTTGGGATTTTGATTTAACTAATTGTGGGGAGGGTGGGAGAAGAAATAAAGAGGCAAATGTGACCTACCAGCCCGGCTGACAGGAGGAAACTGTTGGACAGCTTCCTCCCGCTGGATTCGATACCTTCTGAAAGCTTCCCTCGCATGATCTTGCAATAATTTATGATGCACGAAAGATTGACACGATTACAGTATCTTGAAAACCTTTTTGGGTAATTTTTTGTTAAAGTTAATGCACCGATGCAAATAGTCCTACCGAATGATTGGATGCAATTTGTTTCATGATGCACGAGAGGGTTAAGGTTCTTTGTCACTGGGAAGACAATAGTGGATGTTAATTTCATGTGTCATTGTGGACTTTCATTTTGTGTAGACGTTCTGTTTAAATCTTGGGGTTGATTAAACCTGTGTACTGTACCAAAAAGGACTATGTGGGAGAAAAGGAGGAGGACTGTGGGAGAAAAGACTAAAAGACTATCAAGCGGGAGTACGAGGAGAAGGTGAAGGATGAGCTGGAGGCTACAAGAGATATGTTGACTAAGAAAGAATGAGGGAAGGGAATCATCTCAGATCTATCATAGTAACTAGACTGCATTAATTGAGGTGCCGACTCGCCTCAAGTGGTACATTTTTCGAAGTTGTGACCTTGACCGGTGATGTTTGTTACTTTCAGGGATTACGCGGAGTTATTGGATCACCTGGAGATAAATGCATTCCAATTCCCGGTCCACCAGGATTGCCAGGACCTATTGGCCCCAAAGGTGATCTTGGATTAAATGGTCGAGACGGTGAAAAGGGACAACCGGGTCGTTCAGGTAAGTACTAATTTTTATCTTGGTGTCGGTAACTGAAAATTCAAGCATTCCTAAAGTTTCAAGTAAAGTCAAGTTTTTGTTGAAATGTATTATTATGGTACCCAAAGACTATGTATCGGACATCTCCCAGTTTCAGGTAGCAAAATAATACAGTAACAAGATTATTCACAATAATTGGAGAAGTCTACAGGATAATTTTAATACAGTATACAGAAAACTTGGTTCATAATTTGTTAATACTGTACCAGAAATGAAACATTTCAGACAGACAAAGTTTACTTGAGTTTAGGTAACCAATAAGAAAGTAAAAGGAGAACATTGCAAAGTGAAGAAAATATATGGAGAAAATATTAAAAGATGATGCAGTAAAGGCCCGGGTGGTATAATGTTTGGCCTCACCACTTTAGTATTGTGAACCTAGCTAGGTGCGTCACACCACCTAGTAGTGTGAACCTAGCTAGGTGTGTCACACCACCTATAGTATTTCCATGGCGACCTGTGGTGTAATGGTCAGCATCCTCGTCTCGTAAGCTAGCGGAACCGAGTTCGATCCCGGGCCTGGTGAACTATGAGCAAGTTTATTTACACCATTTGCATCTGTCTACCCGGCAGTAATTGGGAACCTGGATGTTAATCGATTTGCGGATCGTGTTCCGGGGTAATGGTTAGCCAGTACAGTTGGCGAGCTGTCCGGTCTTCTCAGACTATTCCTTGTCACTGGGTCATGCAGCTCATTAACTTGGGGTGTGGTTGTTGTGTTGGCGACAGCTTCTACACCTTAACAAATTCACACCTAGGAGGCCCTTGGGCCGGCCATCCTCGATCTCAAGGGGCTTCCATTATAGTATTTCCACACTAACCTGGCTCACAAGCCACACCCCTCTTCTATAAAAATAGCTGATGGTTCAAAGAAAATGTTCGTGTAGCTTTTTTTTTTACGGGGAATAGCCCACCCGGGCTCAGGTCACCGACCCACAATGGGGTCTAGGGGGCAATTATCCTAAAACCAGTATCATGTACACAATATTAAACATCACTTGAACAGATTAGGGGAATAGCAGTAAGCAGTGTTTTTCGTGGCCTGATGGATAAGTTTGTGTGAATCTTTCATTTCTACAGGTAAGATATTGCTCCTTTATCTATAACTGATTTTCATAAAGTTTGACGAGACACCATGTACAGGTGTGCCCACAGCAAGGAAAAATAATTGTTTTATACCTTTTGAGTGTTGCAAAGTGTTCTGAGAAAACTCTGCCATGAAAGTGATCACCATTAGGATTACCAAGGTATGCTCACCTCTATGGTGGGCACACATATCATAGTGGGCATCATGGTGGGTAAACATACCATAGTGGGCATCATGGTGGGTATACATACTATAGTGGGCATCTTGGGTACACATTGTATAGTGGGCATCATGGTGGGTACATATACCATTGTGGGCATCATGAGTTTACCAACCCTGCACTATATGTTCCACCATTTCTCCCATAATCACCCAAGCTTTGTGAGGGAATATTGTAAACTCTTTTTAACCCTTTAAGGACAATGGTTTAAACTTTTGAGACTAATATTTTAGACTTTAGAAGACAATGGTTTAACTCTGAAGATGATGGATTAACTTTCAGAGAATGGTGGTTTAACTCCTGGATGATGAAATTTTTTACCCTATGAGGATGATGTTCAATCTCTCTCATACTCAAAGGATTAAATAATTTAATTAGATTAATGTATTGTAGATTGCTTATGTGTTTTACCTAAGTCAGTGTAATTTCCTTGGTAATAATCCCTCTATCACAAGACAAGAAACAGGATTTTACAAGCTCTTTCCATCTTTCTTTCCAACTTATGCTTTTCAAATTAATATTTATGTTAAAAACAACAAATAAAACATCAATTAATTTTGATCTTGTCTTCTGTAGGTTTACCTGGCCAGGATGGAGCTCCAGGGATTGAGGGTGACAAGGGTACAACAGGTCCTTCAGGTCTACCAGGTGTTGCTGGTCTGAAGGGAGGCAAGGGAGAGCCAGGCCTGCCTGGTCCCAAAGGCAATGAAGGCAGACCAGGTTCCAATGGTCTCACTGGACCTAAGGGAGACAGGGGTAACAGTGGATTACCTGGTGCACCTGGACTACCAGGTATAGATGGTCTGAAAGGTGATAAGGGTAACCCTGGTCCTGAGGGTCCTCGAGGTGAAGTGGGCATGACTATGAAGGGTGAGAAGGGTCTGCCTGGTTTACCAGGAAAGCCTGGTCGTAATGGCATAAATGGACTAAAAGGAGAAAAGGGCGATCTTGGGTATGTTGGACTACCTGGTAAGAATGGCCCTCCTGGAATTTCAGGCCTCCCTGGTGCTAAAGGTGGTAAGGGTGATGCAGGAACACCGGGACCTGCTGGATTACCTGGTCAAGATGGCAGAAATGGGTTCCCTGGTCAGAAAGGTGTGGAAGGTCCATCAGGAGACAGGGGTTTCCCAGGTCAGCCAGGGCTCAGAGGACTTATTGGCCCAAAAGGTAATATTGGACCTGAAGGTCTTCAAGGCTTACCTGGTAGCTCAGGAGCCAAAGGTGAAAGAGGCAATAATGGTTTAGTCGGTCTCCCTGGAGAGAAGGGCAATCAAGGTCCTAAAGGCTTTGATGGGCTCCCGGGTGTAGCAGGTAGGCCGGGGCTCCCGGGTCTAAAGGGTGAAAGAGGTTTCCCTGGAGGTAATGGTCGTCCTGGTATTCCGGGCACCAAGGGAGAGCGTGGCTTGCCTGGACCACAGGGCCCAAGAGGACCAGAAGGACCTGAAGGTAGCCCAGGTATGCCTGGTATGTCTGGAGTTAAGGGTGATCGTGGTTTTGATGGATTACCAGGTCAAGGTGGACCACCAGGAATGAAGGGAGATCGTGGTTTTGTTGGAGCACCAGGTCTTGTTGTGAGTATTACTTTTATATATTAAGACCTTGTTTCTCACATTTAGTGTGTTGGATATGTGTCAGTTTTCATATTATTAACCAAATTCAGGGAAATTCAATATTAAGTTTTACATTGTTGTTCATGTCATGATAAGGAAAGTTGAACGTATACATAGAGGTACACAAGCATGAAATTACAGTACTAATTCATGTACATATGTACATGCATGTTTGCAGACACACACACACACACACAGAAATGATATTTCACCCCTTTTTTTGTATGCAGCTGTACACACAGACAAATGTGTAAACCTGCAGTTACATATCCAGACACATGAACCCACCCACTGACACCCATACACTATTGAATACACACACACGCACACACTCTATTCTATTAATACTTTGCCGTCACTCGGAATCGAGTATGATGATCATCCAGCTATGACACAATGATACACACACACCCTTAGCAAAACTTATTTGTATTAAGAAATAAAGTGTGGTACAGTATCATGCTGCATTACTTAAGTTGTCAGAACAACACTTCTCACCAACTTGTTAATGACAATATTAATCATTGTAGTCTGTGAGTCAGCAGCCCAGCTTAGCTCGTATTCATTATCCTCTCAGAGCTTTTAATATAACATTTAGTTACAGTATTGATATTATGAATGAATGTAAACCTTTTTTTTTTTTACCCTAACTCTATTTTCTTTTTGCTTTTCTACAAAGGGACAGCCAGGTTTCCCTGGATCCAAGGGAAATGCAGGAAGGAGCTGTGAGGCTCAGCAACAGTATTATTCAGGCACACTGGTAGTAAGACATTCCCAGACTACTATTGCTCCCCGCTGTGAACAAGGCCATAACCGTCTATGGGAGGGCTACTCCTTACTATATGTTGAAGGCAATGAAAAAGCACATCATCAAGATTTAGGCAAGTAAATGTGTATTTCACTTAATGCAAATTTGTTTTTTATTGAATATTAAAACAAACCATTCCTAATAACAACATGCCAGCCTGTTTCTGTTGCTTCATGGGTGTACACTAAAAATTTAAATTATATTTTCTTACAGGTTTAGCTGGTTCTTGTGTACGAAGATTCAGCACGATGCCGTTTATGTTCTGCGACTTCAACAACGTATGCAACTATGCTTCTAGAAATGACAAGTCATATTGGCTTTCTACAAATGATCCTATTCCCATGATGCCTGTTGCTGACACTGCCATTCGACCATATATTTCAAGGTTTGTCTCTCACGCCTACCATAGTTTGGTATTTTAAAAGGGGTATTGGCCTATCATATGTCTACAGTAGTTTATAAAGTCATACAGTGTCTACCACTACATATATTAACTAAGCTATAAAGAATATGAATGCACTGCTTAAGAATCTAGAGAAAAGTATAATTAAATGGATGGAAATACATGTAAGTGTAGAGAGTGGGCAAGGCTGTAGGAAGTAGTAGTGAGAGATCGCTGCTTGTGTTATGGTGAGGAGAGGGCTGAGCCAGTGTGTAGAGTTGAAGTGGGAATGTCATGGATGTGGAGGGTTACTGTGTAATATATTCACTAGTTAGAGATAAATTTAGTTATTGAAGATAGAGGAATAAAACTGGATAAGCAGAAAGTTAGAAGTAATGGTGTTACTGTATCATCTGTGCAAGAGGAACAAGATAAAAGAGTAACTGAAGTAAGATGGTGGTGTTTTGAGAAGTGGGAATCAAGATATGAGATATTGTGAAGTTTCCTTAAGTATTTATGATAGTAAAGTTTAGTTAATACTTATACCATTTATAAATCAATAGAGTTAGAATGCAAAAGAACCCTTGAAATAGTGGCATACCCTGTAATTGTATATACTCTAAACTGAAACGACTGTACTTCTTCTAGCTCAACCCTCTTGTGCATCATGATGTGAATTACGTCAAATCATTGGGTAGCACTATTTGCATCGGTGATGTGAATCGCATCATTAAAATTGAAAAATTCACTCCCCCAAAAGTTTTCAAGATAATTGGATCAAAATTTTGTGTATCATAGATAAATGCATTATCTAGTGAGTGAAGCTTCCAGTAAGTTTGAAAACTCTGGTGAGGTTCTGCTATCCATCAGTTTCCTCCCATCAGCTGTACTGGTAGGTCACTTTTGTCTCTTCCTCTCCCAGTCTCCCACCCTCCCCATGTTTAGTCTTATCAAATTCCTAAGCCAACATTGGAAAGTTCATAAAATTCTACTTCTATAACTATGTAATCTTTGGTAGGTTTGTGAGAAAATATCCAAGATATGATGCAGGGAAAACCAAAAGATAATTTTCTTTATTCGGAGTGAAAAAATATACAGTATTGTAGTCTTATTCTTGTCTTATTTATTTTGTTATTCTTATGTAGAACAAAACAATACCAAAGTTAGTGCCAAAAACGGTTTCTTGTGGGATAAATTGGTGTATGATCTTGTTCAGTATACATGCCGAGTTTAAATTGGTTGGGGTGTAGGGGGTATTGGTGCTTTTTATTACATTCTCCTCGTCATTTAATACTTCACAAGGATATTTTGTATTGACATATGATAAATGTACTGTATTACTTAAGTTTCTGCAGTACTGTATGTAATGGAAAGATAATGGATCTGACAGCCTTACATGCCTGATCAACAAAATTTACTCATGTTGCAAACCTTCAACAGATGTGTGGTGTGTGAATCTCCAGCCAACGTAATTGCTGTCCACAGTCAGTCACTCAATATCCCAGAGTGTCCTAATGGATGGTCTGGCATGTGGATTGGTTATTCCTTTGTTATGGTAAAGTCATTATTTTCTCTTTTACTTATATTGTTTTTGTAGCTTCCAGACTATGAGTAAATCTCCTCAAATTCCTTCACAGTGTAGGTTGTGTAGTAACTTGAAGGCCATGGTTAGTACTGGTGCAGGGTGACCATGGTTACTACTGGTGCAGGGTGGCCATGGTTACTACTACTGGTGCAGGGTGACCATGGTTACTACTACTGGTGCAGGGTGACCATGGTTACTACTACTTGTGCAAGTTGGCCATGGTTACTATTGATTCAGAATGGCACTTGACCAGGCAGGGTTACAACACGGCTCTGGCTAACTTGCTTTATACTTACATATATGACCTTTTCATTCAACAGTTATAAGTCTCAAATTAAACCATTTTCAGAATAATAATCACCATCATTAATTTTACCAGACCTTCATAATCTTACTTACCGTACCATTAATTATCATCATGATTATCAACCTTTATAAATTGAGTTATTATTGTCAATATTTATCATTATTTTGCCATCATCATTGCACAATCATCATCCGAGTGTCATCATCATTACACAATCATCATCAGTGTCATCATCATTGTACAATCATCATCAGAGTGTCATTGCACAATAATCATAATTGCACATTCATTATCAGTGTCATCATCATTGCACAATCATCATAGTGTCATCATCATTGCACAATCATCATAGTGTCATCATCACTGCACACTCATCATCAGTTACAGCTATAATTCTCCTTGACACAGCAGCCTATGTTGATGATATGAACAATTATGTAAAGGTGCTTTTCTTGCCTCACTTCTTGAACACTTTCATTCCTATTAGGTCCCTAAGGGTTGCTGTTCCCTTGATTGTTCTCCACACAAAAGTTAACATTACAGTGAAACATACTGTATATTTAAGGGACTATATGGGAGGGAAATCTATTATATCAAGGGCCCGTTATATGTGAAACCTCCATCTAACATACTATATAGAGATGGAAGTCCTTTATATCAAGGATCTGTTTTATGAAATTCCCCCTATATTTGAGTAAAAGTGTGAGACATATTATAACTTATATTATTTGTAGTAGGGCAAAGGAGAAACATTGAGATATAATGTGGAGACTCCTTTGGCTAAGCCACCCTTGAAGAGGAAGAGCAAAGAGTTACAGAGTTGTGTTGGCCCTATCAGTCATCTTCAAAGCTGGGCTCTTGGTACCCATATAGTTACTGGTCAGTAGAATTAGTGTAAGTAGTAAAATGATGGAAGATTTGACTTAAGTGCCTTGGGTGAAAGAGCAAGGAATGAAAATTTAAAATTATCACAAAAAGAATGGATGTGAGGAAATATTTAGTCATTTGAAGTGGTGTGAAAGATGGTAACATTGTAGGTAGATAATATTGTATTTGTTAGTAAGTATTTGAGAAAAGTATCAATACAGTATTGAAAAATTCATAGATTCCTTAGAAATTCAAATATTCCATGTATACCAAACAAATTCAAGCTTAAAATACTGTATTAATAATTTCTTAAATAAATAAACTTAAAGTTATCTGTAATTTTTGTCCACAGCACACAGCAGCAGGTGCAGAGGGTGGTGGTCAGTCCCTCAGCAGCCCAGGGTCATGTCTGGAGGACTTCAGAGCTACACCATTCATTGAGTGTAATGGGGCAAGAGGAACGTGTCATTACTTTGCTAACAAATTTAGTTTCTGGCTTGCCACAATTGAAGAGAGAGACCAGTTTTCACGACCAGTGTCACAAACTCTTAAAGCCGGCAGTTTACTCACGAGAGTCTCCAGATGCCAAGTTTGCGTTAAGGACTAATTTGGGGGAATGGAAAAATATTCTAAGCCTTTTCATATTGTTAGTTTTATTACAGCTGAAACAAGAAACTCGTAAATTAGAAGTGACAAAGACTGCTTCGTAAAAGGTTTAAAACAGATGCCTATATTTTAATAAGCTTCTTCTGCTTATTGATTTAATTTTATATCATAATGCCAGTGTAATTAGATTTTATGTCAATGTCTAGTCTATATGGCTTCTTCCATTCGCATATAAAGGAGCTCATCGTTACCATGTAATCACCAACATGCCATATATAAAAAACCCTATTTGAAATGGAAAAAAAAATGACTACCTATAGATCAACCTTTATTTAGTTTTATTAAGTCATGTTGATACTGATTAAAGTTCAGAATCTCAGATCACATTGTTTCTGCTCAAATGATGGTGTTTCGTAGTGTGTTCCATATGTCCACAAGGTGCTTCTACTCTGAGTGTAAGATTGTTTTATTCTTGAGATTTTGCAAGAGCTCATTGTTCTCTATAGTAAATAATGATTATTTGATATATTGAATATTATGTGCATTTTGCAGAACTCCAAGACATTTGGTAATTTCATGTATGTAGACTGTACACTACTCTTAAAAACAAAATTAATATTTTACTTTGTTATAAATTTTGTGTGGTGCTACATGTTCATAGCTATAGTATAGGCATATCCTAAATGTTAATTCTTATTTCTAATTTAGCATTTATCAGGTTGACACTGCCATATCAAAAACCTCATTAGAGGTTTTTGCTTTAAGTTTAGGTCGTATTCCAATTCTTGCTTTGATAAGCAACATTTTTTCTTTTTTCTGTTATAAGTATGGGATTTTTTTCAAATTTCATAATTATACCAGAAAAATACTTAGTATTAAGAGGAAAAGAATTATGTAAAGATATGTTTTTGTTATTTCTAAACCTCTACGTCACTGCCATTTCTTATACACTTTTTAAATAAAATTTTACTTCGACTTCTGCTTCAACTTTGGTATTTTTATGCACCCTTTGGCTCCTTAGCACTTTAACACTGGCACATTTTTTGGAATTCTAATCTGGTTCAGAAATTGTGTGGTTGTAGCTTTCTTAGAGTTGAACTAACTCTTGAGTGATTTAGTTGGTTGAGTTAGTGTATCTGTTATCATCACTGGTTCAACTCCTTAGCCTCCCTGCTTTTGTATAGAGATTTCAACCAATATTTTTGAAGTTGATTTTTGTTTTCTTGTTCCTCCATGGACTTGCTCTCTCTGCACTGATAAATTAAGAACATTAAGAAAGACATCATCAAGAATAAAGGTATGAAGTGATGCCCATTTCTACACTGCTGGAGGGTTGGTGATGTTGGTCACACAGTCCTGGGATCATCCTATAATCAGATAGATGGGTGATCTTTGATTACCTCGGGGTGTAGCAACCCTTCTTTACCAACTAAGAGAGTACTTCCATTTTATAATGCACAGTTCTCACTGTAAAAGTGGGTTGGTGATACGAAGGCCATACAGCCGTAGTACTTGCTTCAAATTTGTCTGGTGGGAACTGGGTAGTCGCATCTAACTCACAATAGTATGGAAAAGGGCTGTAAAATGGTGGTGGTGGTGGTGGTGGTGATGGAAAAAGCAGCAGTTCATCCATTGACAATCAACTTGTAGATTATTTGGTTAAATCATTTCTGTCAGTAGGTGACAAGAATGAACTAACCTACCCTAATAAACCCTTGTATAATGACTAACATGGCATCTGCATTTTTGTAACTGACAATTACCTTGGGGGTCCTCATTTTCAATCTGCTTACCAAAATTCCAAACTCCAGGTGACTCCTAAGGGGTTTGTGGGTGAGCTTGTACATCTAGGAAATCCCAATATCCACTCGCCACATACACAGTGTAAAATAGTGAGTGAGTTGTGCCATTTAAAGATGTGCTTGATGTTTAACATTTTATATTTTTCATGTGTTTTATTGTATTACAAATGGCATACAGCTATTAATTTATATTTTATATGTACTGTATAGTCTCAAAAAACTATACCCTATTTACTGCCTCACAACATGTACTTTTTTCCTGAAAAATGTCAAACAAAATCACCCTGCATCTTAACACCCAAAGGTCAAATTGCAGAGGAGTTTATCAGCTCTCATGAGCTCCAGACATGTAATATTAATGTTCTTACAATTTGTAAACATTTTTCTTGTTTATATTAATGTACTGTACTTATAACATTCCTTTATATATTCCTTTATATTTCATACTGGTCTACACATTTGTGAAAAGAATATAATTATACTAGTTTGTACAAGGTTTAGGTAATGTTAATGAATAATACAAACTGAGGTTTGACATTGGGTCCATACAATGATAGTTAGCTGTGGTTGTGATGATAGAAAGGCAATACCTCTGAAACGGCAGCTGATCTGGTGCACAGGGATCTACAAGCCCTGTGCTGGACAGTTCCTAGTGAACATGCCGGTACCAGTAAGTATTTGTAATGTGTATGTCGTAAGTACCTATATACTTGTATACTGTAGTTATAACCTTTTGCACTAAATAAGGTAAATTTAATTAATAATACCAACAAATGTTTGATAATAGGTCCATAAAGTGATAGTGAGCTGTGGTAGTGAGAAACATGACAGCTTATAGTCAGCAACTTGAACTAGCCAGTACAGTATGCTATTAAATCCGCCAAATTTTTTTTTCCAAAAATAAACTTTGCTAATTATAGGGAACGTCTTATCACTTGTAGCATCTTATGAGCTGGGAAATATGATATACCAATTGTGTAAAAACAATGGGACGCAACGGATGAAGGATTCTAACATCCTTACCGAGACAGCAGGCGTCACTGTGTTTATTCTGGAATTCATAACACCCTCAAGTAAAGACAGTTTTTTGAGTGACCATACAGGTAAATGATTTCAGATCAACAAAAATCAAGCACCAATTTGGCTCAACTTATATTGATCAGGGTTAGGAAGTTTAGTACAGTATTGTGGTTAAATTAGTCACTTTGCACATCCTGGAAATTGGTCTTGTACTGTAGTTACAGGTCCCCCGATTTACGATCTCCCTATCAACAATATTTTGTTTGAATGATGGTGATGTATTATTTACAATAAAAAAAATTTGCATGAACAATGGTTATCGTCCGGCGAATGTGGAATATGTAACGTACTGTATCTCTCAATGCAACTTGTCACTGCGGTCTGCTACTCGGTGCACTACAGTCCCAAGCTTTGTTCCATAGTGATCGCACTTGGCCGTGCTCGTGTAGCTCAATGATTATCAGTCAGACTTGATGTTGTTGTTTTTTTTTTATGGTGCGAGAACATCATTAACGTTCACATTGTACTCTGTTTTGGTAGCTGTGAGGTGCTTTTCTGACTGTAAAGTGTTTTGCCTCTATTTTTTTGACAAGTGCTTTTGCTTTGTTTTCATGACTGAAGTGAGCAGTGTAACTTTGAAAATGTCCTGGGAAAGCCAAGGCATCCAGGAAAACCATGTCTCTGGAGGTGAAGCTTCACATTGTGAAGCTGTGTGGGAGTCAGTGACATCTCTACTCCACCTTCAGGAGTCCTCTTAGCCTCAAATTTGACATGTAATGATGACCAGGCTTCTTCTTAATGATGTGGTGAGTGTTGTTTAATTGTGTTGTAGGTACAGACATCCCCTTGGTTGTGGAATTTCGCCCTTATGGAATTGTGAAATTTAGACCACAATTTTGGGTTAGGGAAAAAAATTGCCCTTACAGAATTTTGAAAACAGTTAAATTTTATATTTTTTTATTTTTAATTGAATTTTTTACGAAAATAGTAAAAAATATTTCATGTGAATGCATCTGTGATGGCCACAAGGTGATTGGAAGGCTGCTTACTTCCCCAGTTCCCAGCATTCACCACAACAATGGAGCTGCTCAGTTAGAATTCTTTCCTTAGCTTGTGTTCAATTATGCATCTGTGTTTGTGACTTTATTCACCCTTAGGAAATTTTGGTTAATTTATTAAGATTTGTCAAAGAAAAAAATGCAATATAAAACAAAAAATTTACCCAAAAATAAAAAATAAAATTTTGTGGATTCTGGTGGTGACTAAATATGGCTGCCAAGCTGCTCCCCTCACCAGCTGATAGCCACAACAGCAATGGCACTGCTGTTTGAATTCTCTCCCCAGTTTGTGTTCAGTTATGCATCTGTGTTACTGTGTACCATTATTGAAGATGAGTGGAAAAAGGTCATCAATTTCAAGTGAAAGCTGTGGTGATAAACAAATTCCATAAAGGAATTGAATTGGACCTTAAACTTGATGTTTTAAGGAGGTAACTCCCAGTAACTGATCCCACAACCTCGCCACCTCCTGTAGTGTGAGGGTGCGTGTTTTCCAACACCTACACCACCCTCATCTTACTTACTTCTCTTAGTTGGGTGCCTCTCATGCAGGTAGACTGCCACACAGGTCGGTCAACTGCCAGCCTTTCCAGGACTGAAGGCTGAAAGTCATACTTCTTGAGGACTTTGGAGTTGGTCTTTGAACCTTTTCCGCTGGCCGCCAGCAGATCGATTGCCGTAATGGAGTTGGCCATATAGTATTTGGCGAGGCAGGTGGTGCTCGGGCATTCTGATGATGTGCCCCAGCCAGCAAAGGTGTCGTCGAACAAGGATTGCTTCAATGCTTGTGTTTTGGGTGCAGAGGTAAATCTCGTCATAGGTCACTCGGGTCTCCCAAGATAACTCCAAGATCCGTTGCAGACATTTCATGTGGAACGCTTCCAGGGACCTAATATGGCTCCTCTGTGGGGTCCAGGTCTCCGACACACTACATGATACACAGCAGCCTTAGGCAGAAGAGACATGATTAATGCATGCCTGGACCTCATGGTCAATTGTGCTGGATGGTGCTAGAATACTTTTGAGGTGTGTAAATTGCTGCACAACTTTAAGAGGTTCTCTGTCGATGGTGAAGACTGGCACATTATGGGGAGGCACAATGTACTGTACTGGTGTTAACTTTGAGACCTAAGGCTTCTTAATTGGCCGAGATGGGGTCAAGGGCACGTTGAATAGCCACCTATGTGTATGATACGAGGGCACAGTCGTCCGCGAAGAAGAGTTCATGGATCTCCTGAACTTGTGTTTTGGTGTTGGCTTGGGGGCGTCGTAGGTGAAAATGGCTCCCATCTAGCCGGTATTGTATGCCATTGTTGGCAACGTCATCTTCATTAAAGATGTCATGCGAGAGGGGGGTTACTGTTACAAGGAACATCTTGAACATGGTAGGGGCTAAGACACATCCCTGCTTTAGCACACATGCCGTCACTGAATTGTGGGACAATGCTCTTGAATTCGGGTGGCACTCCGAACTCTTTTAACAGTAGCCAGAGAAGTTCACGGTTGACGGTGTCGAAGGCCTTGGTCAAGTTGATAAACGTTATGAAAAGATCTTTGTTTTCTTTGCGGTATTTCTCTTGGATTTGCCTTGCTACAAAGTTCATATCAACGGTGCGATGATCTTTTCTAAATCCGCATTGGGTCTCTGAGAGGATGTTTTCAGTAATGTGGTCTGCCAGTCGGTGCAACATGACTGGCCAGCAAAATTCAAAGGGCCAAGTCATATAAAATAATGCTGATAGAAGCAAGATGAGAGTGGTGTGAACGCGATGCGTATAGATAGGCCCGACAAGGTGATGTAAAATGGACCCCCTCCCCCCCTCTCCTACACCTATGGTAGGTAGTGACTCCTGGGAAATACTCTTAGATATGACGAGTTTGCCAACCACCATCAGCTCTTTGCATGAGAGATCTTGCACGAGTGGGACTGTTTTCCATTGACAGCTGCAGACATAGTGAGATTTTTGTTGACATTCACCATCTTCACATCCAGTTCTAGGCACTGAGGAGCTGGAGATTGTTGACTTAAAACCATCAGTTCCAGGCTCTCCGGATCTGTGGTGGGTTAGGAGAGGCAGCTTCGTTGTGGAGGACTAGGGAGGGGGGGAGGGAGGACCACAGGCGACGTTCTAAGTCTTGTAGGGTCTTCTGGAATCCCACGTTGAGGGTGATGGGGCGGTGGGAGGCCTTCACTAGGGAGAACGCTTGTCTCAGTGTCATGCGGTGAACCTGTAATAATAGTATGATCTTGTGAACCTCTCTTGTCATTATTATCAACATTTAAACCTTATAAGATTTTTTTCTCGGTAATCCATTCATTGTCATGTTGTCT